CACAGCGGCCACATGGCTCTCCAGTGCCGTCTCATCCTGCCACTTGGCTGAGACGTCACGACGTCACTGAAAGGATGATGGAGCTGTAGGGGGAATCATCCCCAAGCGATACATCTTTGCAGTATGACCTTATTTCAGGTGAGGGGTTAATAGCCATTTCTGTCAATGCATCGGTTCAGGACGTACAGTACCTTAATGTACCTTACACATACCTTGCAGTTTCGTAGGGGGACGTGCAGGCAACGCATTTTCAGAATCACCTGATGCGCATATAAATCATATAATTCAGTCCCGCCTCATTCAACACCTTGCTGGTTGGTGGTTTCAAACATTTGTTATTTCCCATAATACATGGGATAATCCTTCCATATCCTTCCCATTGACTCATATTTTTCAGAGGAGTAGGTCAACCACCAACCAGCTTGACACACTTGAACTGTTTTAAGCACCGTCCATGGGTCCCAGGCGACACCTTCCCCAACGTGGGCGCCGAATGCGGCGCCGGCGTGGCCGGGATCGTCGGGGCCCTGGGCGAAATGGCCGCCTCAGCAACCCTGGCGATGACCAGCTGCAAGGAATTCCCCATGGCAGGTGCCTTTGGGGGGTGGATGGGATGGATGGGATGGGGTGATGATTTTGAATGGCGAAATATCATGATATAAATATACATTTATTTTTTAGATGGGCTGAATCCACCAATCAGATGGGTTTGATAGGTAATCAAATGAATTAATTAAATGTGTGTCCTAAAAGTTGGGCACAGCACATTATATAGAGAGAGAGAGGGAGAGTATATGCTCCGCTCCGGATGAACTAAGTAGTTGGGTTTCCGACATGTTGTTCTAAAAGTGTGGTGTATACCTTGTATTATGGCAACTGAGGATAGCGCGTTCAGGGTGCCCCAATATTGGACCAATCATGACAAAGCCGTTTAAAGATATGAGAAAAACGTAGGTTCTACACATATCTGAAACAGGAGGCAGGGGGAATATGGAAGATTTCAGGTTGAGGGGGAAGGAAGCAACCAGAATTGTCGGGGAACGAGTCACAATACATAAGGAGTACATATTGGGGTGGGTCGAAATCTGCAGGCTCTTCGGAGTCGGTTTCAGGGATACTGTAAGATCGGTGATTTGAAGATATTCAAACCATCATCATCGGTATAGTGACCTTTGGCATGGAGCCCACTTCTGACCAATCTAGCTTGTTGCTCCTCAAGCCCCCCCGATTTTGATCCATGATATTCAAGCGGAAGTCCTAGCAGTGTAACTGTGACATCATTCGACCCATGGCCCTTGATCATTGCCTGATTTTTGTCCATCCTTTCAACACAATCCAAGCATTCGCAGATTCATGGCTTTGGGCTTACCACATTTTTTCGGGTTCCCAAAAAAGACAGATATGTCTTTCCAGGATGGTAGTTCGATGACGGTTTCCCCATCATTTCCAGCTTTCCATTTGTTCAATTTATGACTGCCGAATCTAGTGGGAAAATATGGGAAATATCGAAATTAGATTGTCCAAGAAATGGTGGTTTCCCTGCTATTGTGGGGTTATATTAGTTACATCCACATATCTGTTTGAAAATTGGGTATAGCATCAATTAATATAGCTTTTGATATAGTTTAATGTGTACATTACTCTCTAGTTATTTAACATCTATAGCCACAGAAAAAGGGCCCATGTTTGATGATTTATGATGATTTACCGAACTTTATATCATGGTGATGTTCCAGTTCGCGACGTTAAATAACCAGAGGGTACATGGAGGTATCCTTTCCTAAATGGGAGTACCCTATAAATCATCCATTTATAGATGGGTTGATCCATTATAAATCATCATAATCATCCAGCCATTGGGGTAAGTTGCTGAACCCTGCCGACTCAACCAGGCTTCAAGGCGGATGCATATGGAGATGCCTACGGAGACGCGAGAGTCAACAGCCTTGGCGAACCCGGGATCAGGCAGGTGATGGTATTAGTGAACTCCTTGGCAGGAAAGGATGGCAACGGTTATATTTATTATAAACATGGCTTTAGATATGCAATATAGTATGTACATATATATATATATATATACAGTATATATATATATATATACACAAAATTATACATATTTATATATATATATGCATACATTTATTTCCATATGTGATGTGCTTGGTGATGCGTTTTATTTCTGAGCGGTACCATTGTAACCTCATAGTGAGTGACAGCGTGTATTTTGTCTCCAGGGGGGTTCGCCGTTGTTACTCCAGCCAAGCCAGTGATGTTCAGGGTGCATCTACTGATCCGTCCGTAGGTTACATTTAGAATATGCATATTGAGGTTTCCTAAAATGGTGGGTACCCGGGTACCCCAAATCATCCAAAATTATACTATTTTAGTATTGAAGCCCATGGTACTTGGGGAGCCCCTATTTCAGACAAACCCATATGAAACCATACGAACAATTATTCGCAAACAGACGGAGATAAGGAGAGGAGTATATACATTCACCCACTCTTTCCCTTGACTTTTTCATCTGCAGTATTTGACGTAAGTACATCTGCAAATGTGAATTCATGGGATATCAGTTGGTAAAACTAATATATAGTGGATAAATCAACTATATTTACCAACATGGTATATCAAAGTTTATCCATCATTTTCACGGATATCATGGTACATGGTATAACCTCGTCCGTCGCCAGGATGTCCCGCGTGGGCAACAGCGGCCCCGACCGCCGACTCTTCATTGGAACGGGCATTGGTGGCATGGGCGTCCAGTGTGGCGTGGACGTTCCCGGGCCTGAGTTTATGGCAGGGGCCGGTCACCCTGTTGATTGAACGTAAGCAAGCAATGCAAAAATACCAGTAGTACCGCACAAGGCGGTGGCGGAAGTTTCAAAAATAGGAAACCTATAGGAGAGGTTGGTTGTTGTGAATCAGGGATGGCAGAGCGAATCCACTGATGGACCGAAAGGTGCTTGAGGTCTCCTCTCTTTCTCTCTCTTTCTCTGACTATCCACCTACCTACCTATCTATCTTCTATGTATCTATCTATCTATCGATCTATCTCTCTCTCTCTCTCACTCTCTCTCTCTCTTTCATCTAATTACCCAATCTATCTATCTATCTATCTATCTATCTATCTATCTATCTATCTATCTATCTATCTATCTATCTATCTATCTTCTATCTATCTATCTATCTATCTATCTATCTATCTATCTATCTATCTATCTTCTCTTCTGTCTCTGCTACCTGTCTAATCTTCCTATCTACCTATCTGTCTGTCTGTCTGTCTGTCTATCTGTCTATTCTATCTGTCTATCTGTCTATCTGTCTACCTGTCTATCTGTGGTGCAGTGTCATTCGTGTAAAATTGTAGTGTAGTGTAGGTAGTGTGTGGAATGTGTGTAGTGTAGTGTAGTGTAGTGTAGTGTAATTTAGTGTAGTGGAGTGTAGTGGAGTGTAGTTGTGTAGTTGTAGTTGTATTTGTAGTGTAGTGGAGTGTAGTGTAGTGTAATGTAGTGAAGTGTAGTGGAAGGTAGTGTAGTGTAATGTAGTGTAGTGTAGTGGAGTGTAGTGTAGTGTAGTGGAGTGTAGTGTAGGGTAATGTAGTGTAGTGTAGTGTAATTTAGTGTAGTGGAGTGTAGTGGAGTGTAGTTGTGTAGTTGTAGTTGTAGTGTTGTGGAGCGTAGTGTAGTGTAATGTAGTGGAGTGTAGTGTAATTTAATGTAGTGTAGTGTAGTGGAGCGTAGTGTAGTGTAATGTAGTGTAGTGAAATTTAATGTAATGGAGTGTAGTGGAGTGTTGTCTAGTTGTGTAGTTGTAGTTGTAGTGTTGTCGAGTGTAGTGTAGTGTAATGTAGTGTAGTATAGTGGAGTGTGGTGTAATGTAACGTCGTATAGTGTAGTGAAGCGAAGCGGCGAAGCGACATCTGAACCTCCAAAAGTGGTCCGAACCCCTAGTGTCTTGTACATTTTCACTTCGAAATGTGCTTCGCGCCACAACGGCGTGCACTTTGTCGACATCTGAACCTCCAAAAGTGGCGCGAACATGTAGTCTTTTGTACATTTTCACTTCGAAATGCACAACGGCGTGCACTTTTTCGACGTCTCAACTTCCAAAAGTGGTCCGAACCTGGTGTGTTTTGTACATTTTGACTTCGAAATGTGCTTCGCGCCACAACGGCGTGCACTTTTTCGACATCTCAACTTCCAAGAGTGGTCCGACGCTGGTGTGTTTTGTACATTTTGACTTCGAAATGTGCTTCGCGCCACAACGGCGTGCACTTTTCCGACATCGCAACTTCCAAAAGTGGTCCGAGAATGGTGTGTTTTGTACATTTTGACTTCGGAATGTGCTTCGCGCCACAACGGCGTGCAATTTTTCATCTCTCCTCTGGCCAGCTGGCTCCGCACCCGCCGCTTTAGCGAGCCTACTTTTGGACCCTCCGGAGCCACAAATCATTGGAAAAACACAGTGTTTCGCGACTTTCCTACCTTTTCGCGCATCTGCATCTTCTGTCTTCTTACTCTTTCTCTTCTACTCTTCTTTCTTCTAATCTTTCTCTTCTCTCTGCCTCTTCCCTGCTCTGCTTTTCTCCATATTGTCGGAAGTTTGACTTCTAAACTTCCTTCGATAATAATGTAACAGGGAAATAGATGGGAAAATAGGTTGTATGTATATAAAGTTTGATGAAGTCTCTCTAAATGATTCTAAATGAGCAATGTTCCATGATTTTCCGTTGCAATGTTCAAATGACAGGAGGTGATTTACTGATTCGTGTGCCCATTTGTATCAGACATGACGTCAGCAGCTGCGTCCTCCTAAGGTGGGCTTCATCGCTGACAACATTTATGACCCTTGGCAACGGCCAGGGTCATATGATGACTACTTAGATGTTGCCAGAATTGGCCAAGTGATTGATTGGCTAACCACTTACCATGACTCGCAAATTCTGGCAACATCTAAGTAAGGTATTGGTAAGGATGGTGATACCGACAATGGCGGTTGTTTACCCTGCAGCTGAGATGCCACCAAAAAGTCAGCTCCATTGCGGACTGCCGGACTGCTTTGGATCTTCGAAATCTCACCGTTTCACATCCTTGTTCCACGGGTAGAAGCATCACCATGTTTGGACAATCCCACAGCCAGAACTGAGACATGACAACTGAGCTGGCCAAAAACCAACGCCCAGCCACTAAGGACACCATTTTCTACATCCAGCAGGCTGTCCAGCTTGACACGTGCAGTAAGCGAACCCGCTATGGTCCTTACAACTACCTGACAGGACGACCTGCGCGATTCACATTTCCTTCATCCAGAGTTGATTTGATGCGAGGGAGGGCTTGTAGAGGGCTGGCTATGTTCTTTTTTTTCTTGAGGAAGTACATATGTATTGTACTGATTAATGTTGCATTATATATATATAGCATTATATATATATGTGTGTGTGTGCGTGTATTTATAAATAGACCACATGAGGCTCTTGGAGAGACCTGGCATGCCTCGGTGTCAGGAGTGCCGGAGGCTGCCTGTGTCCTGGACATTGCCGGCGCCATCGCATGGATTTCTCAGATCGCCACCTTCGTTCAGCCGCTTGGCATGGGAATTCTTCACCATCGACGCGGGAAAAGCTGGGATTTCGCCAACAAAAAGGGACAAAAAGGGA